ATGTTACTGTCTACAAAGCTTGACTTGTTGCGAAAGGTTTTTGACAAGTTCAAGGAGTTGACTACGATGAGACTTTCTCACCCGTAGTGATGCTTAAGTCTGTCTGAATCATGTTAGCAATTGCCGCATTTTATGATTATGAAATCTGGCAAATGGACGTCAAAATTGCATTCCTTAATGATTTCTCAAAGAAGAGTTGTATATGATGCAACCAGAAGGTTTTGTCGATCCTAAAGGTGCTAACAAAGTGTGCAAGCTGCAGCGATCCATTTATGGACTGGTGCAGTTGGAATATACGCTTTGATAGTGTGATCAAAGCATATGGTTTTAGTTTTATACAGACTTTTGGAGAAGTCTGTATTTACAAGAAAGTGAGTGGGAGCTTTGTAGCATTTCTAATATTTTATGTGGATAACATATTGTTAATTGGAAATGATATAGAATTTCTGGATAGCATAAAATGACACTTGAATAAGAGTTTTTCAATGAAAGACCTCGGTGAAGCTGCTTATATATTGGGCATCAAGATCTATAGAGATAGATCAAGACGCTTAATTGGACTTTCACAAAGCACATACCTTGATAAAGTTTTAAAGAAGTTCAAAATGGATTAGTCAAAGAAAGGGTTCTTGCATGTGTTACAAGGTGTGAGGTTGAGTCAGACTCAATGCCCGACCACTGCAGAAGATAGAGAGAAAATGAAAGTCATTCCCTATGCTTCAGCCATAGGTTCTATCATGTATGCAATGCTGTGTACCAGACCTGATGTGTGCCTTGCTATAAGTCTAGCAGGGAGGTACCAAAGTAATCTAGGAGTGGATCACTGGATAGCGGTAAAGAACATCCTGAAATACCTGAAAAGGACTAAGGATATGTTTCTCATTGATGGAGGTGACAAAGAGCTTGTCGTAAATGGTTACGTCGATGCTAGCTTTGACACTGATCCAGATGACTCTAAGTCACAAACCGGATACATATTTATATTGAATGGTGGAGCTGTCAGTTGGTGCAGTTCCAAGCAAAGCATCGTGGCGGGATCTACGTGTGAAGCGGAGTACATAGCTGCTTTAGAAGCAGCTAATGAAGGAGTCTGCATGAAGGAGTTCATATCCGATCTAGGTGTAATACCTAGTGCATCGGGTCCAATGAAAATCTTTTGTGACAATACTAGAGCAATTGCCTTGGCGAAGGAATCCAGATTTCACAAGAGAACCAAACACATCAAGAGACGCTTCAACTGCATCCGTGATCAAGTCAAGGAGGGAGACATAGAGATCTGCAAAATACATACGGATCTGAATGTGGAAGACCCGTTGACTAAGCCTCTTCCACGAGTAAAACATGATCAGCATCAAGACTCCATGGGTGTTAGAATCATTACAATGTAATCTAGATTATTGACTCTAGTGCAAGTGGGAGACTGAAGGAAATATGCCCTAGAGGCAATAATAAAGTTGTTGTTTATATTTCCTTATATCGTGATAAATGTTTATTATACATGCTAGAATTGTAATAACCGGAAACTTGATACATGTGGGGATACATAGACAAAACACAGTGTCCCTAGTATGCCTCTACTAGACTAGCCCGTTAATCAAAGATGGTTAAGTTTCCTAACCATAGACATGTGTTGTCATTTGATGAACGGGATCACATCATTAGGAGAATGATGTGATGGGCAAGACCCATCCCTTAGCTTAGCATAATGATTGTTAAGTTTTATTGATATTGCTTTCTTCATGACTTATACATATTCCTTTGACTATGAGATTATGCAACTCCCGGATACCGGAGGAATGCCTTGTGTGCTATCAAATGTCACAACGTAATTGGGTGATTATAAAGATGCTCTACAGGTATCTCCGAAGGTGTTTGTTGGGTTGGCATAGATCGAGATTGGATTTGTCACTTCGAGTATCGGAGAGGTATCTCTGGGCCCTCTCGGTAATGCACATCATGATAAGCCTTGCAAGCAATGTGACTAATGAGTTAGTTGCGGGATGATGCATTACGGAACGAGTAAAGATACTTGTCGGTAACGAGATTGAACTAGGTATGAAGATACCGACAATCGAATCTCGGGCAAGTAACATACCGATGACAAAGGGAATTGCGTATGTTGTCATTACGGTTTGATCGATAAAGATCTTTGTAGAATATGTAGGAACCAATATGAGAATCCAGTTTCCGCTATTGGTTATTGACTGGAGAGGTGTCTCGGTCATGTCTACATAGTTCTCGAACCCGTAGGGTCCGCACGCTTAACGTTCGATGACGATTTGTATTATGAGTTATGTGATTTGGTGACCAAATGTTGTTCAGAATCCCGGATGAGATCACGAACATGATGAGGAGTCTCGAAATGGTCGAGAGGTAAAGATTGATATATTGGATGATAGTATTCGAACACCGGAAGTGTTTCAGCATGTATCGGGTACATATCGGAGTACCGGGGGGAGATATGGCCCATATGGGCCATAGGAGGGAGGCAGGCCAGCCCACAAGGGGTGGCGCCCCCCCCCCCCCACCCCCCAAGGGATAGTCCGAATTGGACTAGGGAAGGGGGCGGCGCCCCCCCTTTCCTTTTCCTTCTCCCTCTCCTTCCCCCTTTTCCCCTCCGATAAAAGGAAGGGGCTGAATCCTACTAGGAGCACAAGTGGGACTCCTCCCACTTGGGGCGCCCCTAGGTCGGCCTCCTCGCCTCTCCCTCCTTTATATACGGGGGTGGGGCGCCTCTAACACACATCAATTGTTCCAAGCCGTGTGCGGCGCCTCCCTCCACCGTTTACCCCTCCGGTCATATTGTCATAGTGCTTAGGCGAAGCCCTGCGCGAATCACTTCACCATCACCGTCACCACACCATCGTGCTGGCGAAACTCTCCCTCGACACTTTGCTGAATCATGAGTTCGAGGGACGTCATCGAGCTGAACGTGTGCAGAACTCGGAGGTGCCGTATGTTCGGTACTTGATCAGTTGAATCGAGAAGACGTTCGACTACATCAACTGCGTTAAACTATCGCTTCCACCTTTCGGTCTACGAGGGTACGTGGACACACTCCCCCCCTCTCGTTGCTATGCATCTCCTAGATAGATCTTGCGTGAGCGTAGGAATTTTTTTGAAATTGCATGCTATGTTTCCCAACATTATTCATATTGATTGAGTTTACTTTGTCTACATCATGTCATCCTGCTTAAGGCATTACTCTGTTTTCATGAACTTAATACCATAGATGCATGCTGGATAGCGGTTGATTGGTGGAGTAATAGAAGTGTATGCAGGCCGAAGTCGGTCTATTTGTCACGCACGTAATGCCTATATACATGATCATTGTTGTGAATACGTCATAACTATGCGCTTTTCTATCAATTGCCCAGTAGTAATTTGTTCACCAACCTTATGATATGTGTTCGAGAGAGAAGTCTCTAGTGAAAACTATGGCCCCCGGCTCTATTTTATCATATTGCTAAAAATCTGAATATACTTTGTTGCAATTTATTTAATTTTACTTTACTTTGCAATTTATCTATCTATCATTATTAGAATTAATACTTTCAAGTAACGAGTTCAAGGGGATTGGCAACCCTCTTCCCCGCGTTGGGTGCAAGTATTTGCTTTTGTATGTAAATGTTGCTTAGGGGAGTTTGTTTGGTTCTCCTATTGGTTCGATAACCTTAATTCTCATTGAGGAAAATACTTATCTCTACTGTAGTGCTTTACCCCTCCTCTTCGGGGAAATCCTAGCGCAGTTTACAAGTAGCAGTTGCTCGATGATGGTCGTCGGCAGTCTCGAAGCCGTGTCCTTGCCTACTTTATCATCTTCTAGAAGCGACACCTAAATGTGAAAGCTTATTTGCGTAAAATCAGGGTACAGAGGATTCAATCTATTCCATTCATGGCTTTGATCCAGTTGATGCACGTAATACATGCAATTGCTATAGTGAACAGAGATGTTGAGGCTGAAGACGTTTTCACTTGGCCCGCATCCATCACCGAGAGTTACTCTGCCAAATCCACATATACCTGTCTGTGCCAAGGCATGAAGAAATCTCCTACAGCTGGCTGCATTTGGCGAAGTTGGGCTCCTCTAAAACGCAAAATATTTGCGTGGCTTGCAGCCCAATACCGCCTGTGGACATCGGATAGAAGGCTCTGCACGGATTGCAAGACTCACCCTCCGCTTGCTACACCTACCTTCAAGAGGAAGACAATGTTGATCATATTCTTACACAGTGTGTGTACGCTAGAGAAGTTTTGCACACTTGCTTCGACTTGCTACAGCTCAACTTGTCTGGACCGGTCGCTGACGATACCTTTGTTGATTGGTGGCTCAGAACTAGGAAGAGGTTCAAGACTAGTGATAGGCGTGGATTCGACACTGGTGCTGGGGACGGCATGGGCGATTTGGAAGCAGAGGAACGCTAGAATCTTCAATCGCCCGGAATAGATGGAACAGCTGTTGGGTCTGGCTATGTGTATCACCAGTGAGATTAGGGGGTGGAGGGATGCCAGAGGTGGTGTAGGAGGTCTAGATCGTTTGAGAAGTTAGTTTTAGACTAGTGGGTGTGTGGAGGTGTCCATTGATTGATGTTCGCATCATTCGATGGGTTCTTGTAAATCTTTTGCTCTCTTCTATAAAAGTAAGGTACGCTTTTGGCGTATTCTTGAAAAAAAATCAAACCAAGATGTATTATTTTAATATTGTCGGGTCATATGTGCAAAATAACAACCGAGGCACTTTATCATCTTCCCGAAGCGACACCCAACGAGGCACAGGGAGGAGATTTTCCTTATCCTCCTGATGCCGCTTCTCATGCGTCTCTCCCCACCGGCGGCGGCGCCGTCGCCGCCGTACCGGCGAAGCCACGGAGGTTCTACCACGAGATTATACGCCGTACTCCCCGAGACCTCAGGTGAGTGTTCATCGCCTCCCATCCACCTACATTATTGCAGTATTGCTTGTATCTCTCGTTACCGTAATGTTGGGGCATCCCTGAGCGATGGCGACTGTCCCCTTGACCTCCATGCCTCTAATGCTTTCCAGCGTTAGATTGGAGATGCATATTTTTTTTATTATGTTCCACTTCGGTATGCTTGTCATAATTCATCAACTTCTTAAAAATGCTAGATGCAAAATGTTTGGTCAAAAACCTTGTCATAGCACAATCTGTTACTGCATCGACTGTTTCTTATTCTACTATACTACATGCCATTTAATGATATCTGACATGTTATGGAATTCTGTCCTGCAGAGCGAATGTTTCTTGTAGCTAGACATGCCTCGTCGTCGACTGATCCGGTGCGTCCTGGGAGCGACAACTTTGATATAGCTAATGGACATGGTCATGTCCTTATCAAGTCTACATCTGATCTTCAGGTATGATGGTGAGTCCCTCGGTCTATTTTTCGCGTTGCATCACCGAATAATCAAGATGGACCGGACCTTTGTTGAGCATAAAGCTGAAATATGCTTTAGTTGCCTTGAATGTATTTTCAACGGATAGTATAGTATTATTTCAATTCTCAGTAGGGAGCTCCATTTGAACTGCTTGCAGATACAGTTATGTTGATGTCTCAGCTACAACTTTATACGATTTGTATCTCTTTGCAGAAAGCTGTATCTTCTTGTTTCGGGAAAGCATTGGTGACCAGCAGTGCTGTCATGCTTGTGATGCCGCCCAGTTGCTTGGCAGAAGAATGCGACCCGGGGTACTCTCTTCCTAACATGCCGCTGTTGTTTGCGATAGCCATGGTCGGTGCTACTGTTGGAGGTAATATCACATTGTCAAGGATCTTAGCACGTAGGAAATTGTTTGTGGCTAGCAAACTAGCTTTAAGTTTCAGCCCAACACTACACAATTGATTTTCCTTATATTATTTTTTTAATACTTCATCAACATCTTGAGCAGTTATGAATATCAAACATTAAAAAATATGCAATTTTTTTGAACTGCTGACAACTTCTGGGAGACGGTAGAAATCTAATCTACAGCCTTATAAAGCTTATTTTTTTTCTCCAAAAGCGCCCCAAAGTGTGTGTCATATTGTATTAGAAGGAAAGCGCCAAGAAGGCACAAAGTACAACTCAACGAAACCAGAGACATTGTGCAAGTACAACTCGAGAAAACCAAAGACAAACAAACATTCACGTTTGTCTTTTTGCTTGCTATTTATTAGTACATGAAAAACAGTGTATGTATCCTTAAAGACCTGAATTCTTTCAGCTTGTTCAAGCATGTTGCGGTTAGCTTTTGCCTATATGACTATTTCTGCCAATGACTGTTTCTTTTGTGATGGCCGTTTTCCATCATGCTCTTGTTTGTAGAGAAAATGACATATGCAGTAGTTACTACTTCATACTGCTTAGTTACCCTTGGTTATTCTGTAAGTTCTGTAATATGTTTGTCTCTCTGGAGGTGCAACATTTTCCTACTTTAGATTGAACAATTCAGAAACCCTGTAGGGCTCCTTGCGAGACAAAGGAAAGGGGAACTTAAAAAGCTTAACGATCAGCTACGACAGATAAATGCTTCACTGAGAAGACAAGCCAAGATAGAATCCTATGCTCCTGCTTTGAGCTATGCACCGGCTGCTAGTAAGATACCAGAATCAGAAGTCATTGTTGATCCTCACAAACAGCGCCTGCTCACATATCTGAGGACTGGGAAGAACTACCTGAGAAACCAAGCTCCAGACAAGGCATTTTCCGAGTTTAAGGCAGCTCTTGATCTTGCACAATCTTTGGGTGATCATGTTGAAGAGAAGAAGGCGGCACGAGGATTAGGTCCGTCATTGTTTGGCATGAATTTCATTTATCATTTGCTTGTACGCACATTTGAAACTGATCGTGCTTTGATGCGTACTTCGTTGCCTAGAGAGCTCAGCAGAATTTGCGCCCCTCCTGAACATGCCAATGATAGTTTGAACATGATAATGTAAATACAATTTCACCATAACAAACTGAATCGTATAAACAGAGTAGCAGTACTAATTGCAAGCATTGTGGTGCCCATTTTTATTTACTTTTTGTGAAATCCAACTGACGGAAGTCCTTTGCGTTCATCAGGAGCATCATTGCAAAGACAAGGAAATTACAAGGAAGCAATAAAGTACCACTCCATGGTTCTCAGCATCTCCAAGATGACTGGAGAGGATTCTGGTGTCACTGAGGCATATGGGGCAATAGCCGATTGCTACACCGAAGTTGGTGAGCTCGAGAAGGCAGGCAAGTTCTACGATGAGTACATTGCAAGATTGGAGAATGACTGAAAATGTGTGTGTGTGCGCGCGCTACCTGTGAGAATGCAAACACCGCTAAACTTTTTGTTCTTCACTAGTCATATGATGTCTTGTAGATGTGCAGTTCCTGGCAACAAAAAAGACTGGTTTATTATATCTTCTAAGTTGTTTCCCCTGAATTATGTGAGATCATTTGGGTCAGTAGCATGCTGTGTAGTTATTTTGGTAGTAATAGCTTACTGTAAGTACAAATGAAATCCAGCTTTCCGACTTGAAAATTTTAAAGAAATACCTCAACCTATCACTGCCTGTCCTGAATTTGTTTTCAGTTCCTTTGCCACTTCTCATATTTGTAATGTGAAGGTTTTCTGCTCAAGTGTGAGCTAGGGAGGAAAGGACATGGGGTAGGGAAGGACAAGAAAAGAAAAAGGTGTCGAGTCACAAGTGTAAGCAACGGGTACATATGAGAAAGGACTGTCCAGATCTCAACCGTAAGTGCTAACATGGCCTTTTGGTGATGACTCAGATATCCGTAGTGATGTCCTTGCAGTGTCCTCATAGTATCAGGCAAAGGTGAAGCGTGGATGTTGGATTCAGCTAGCACTTTTTATGTGGCTCCCAACCGGGAGTGGTTCTCTTCGTCCAAATCTATTGAGTTTGGTTAGCCTATATGCTTGATGGCATTGGCTAGCCGTATTGTTGAAGTAGGTGACATCAAAACCAAGATGTTTGACGAAGTTAAGCAGTGCTTTGTCAGGCATGTGCCGGGGCTAAGAGGGAATATAATTTCGCTTTGAATTCTTCATGATGGTGGTATGTTCTTTCATTGTGATGAGGACCATGAGAATCATGAAGGATGAGGTGACCATAATGATGGGAGAGAGCATGCATTGGCGGACCTTGGGTGCAAGAGAAAACCAGGGGGGCAAAAACTTGGCGGCGGCCCTTGCTGGATTGCACATGGCTCTATCGATGAGAGGACGGCTTCGCATCTTTACAAGTTGCAAAGATGCACTATTGTAGGCTGGAATTGTAGGAGTAGCAGCAAGGTACCATGGAGACGACAGGTCTAGGGCCAAGTTAGACTTGTCGTAGAGCTCTCGATAATCTACGAAGGAGGCCACCCAAGACCGAAGTACATGGAAGTTCAACGCACAGACGAATTTAAGATGGTGAAGAACATTCGTCAAGTTAAGTTTGTGTCGAATAGTATGTGTGAGTGTGGATAGGATACAATTAGTGTCGGAGTCCGACTTGATTTCCTATAAAACACCCGGGGGTATAGACAGGCATGCAGGGGGAGGCAACAGCATGTGTCGGCACTTGGACGGCCACGATATCATGCGAAGAGCATCAATACTCATGGCCCGGGAAGTAGACGAGTTCGTCGAACCTTGTTAATAAATTTTGATGTTTGTGTCGTGACGCACAGAATAAAATGTCCACCGGCTCCAGGCGTTGCAGATCTCGAGCACCAAATGAGGACTTGAGTGCAGCTCCACCTTACTTCTTCAGTTTATGGAAGCCTCTGATATTTTATTTCTACAAGGAATCGCTATAGGCCTACAGATGTTGGGTATTAGATCATGTATACCCAGACTGCACAAATCTAGACCCCTATACATCTCGGACGTGTCCATAGTATCACCCCTCAATTTTAGACATTCAAATCATAGTCTTCATTTTCGGATCCTCAAATCCATACTACTAGCACATACAACAGAAAATTCATGAACGTACATAGCTAAAAATAAGCAAAGGTCTACTTGTCATCGGATATGTTGATGACATTCATGCCGGAGCCGCCGGCCTCGTGGTTACTGGTAGTAGGACAAAACTCTAATGCGTCCCCCCTCATCCGGTTGCAATGCGAGCGACGTGTCATGCCTCCATCTCCACTAGAATTACTATCGGAATCAGCTCTTATAGTAGGTAACCTTTTGCCAAACCATGGGTCAGCATCTTGTACTTCCTCCGTTCCTAAATATAAGCTTTTTTAGAGATTCCAATAAAAGACTACATACGGAACAAAATAAGTAAATATATGCTCGAATATATATA